TCCTGTCTCTGGGTCATGTCCCTGCCACCTGTGAGATGCTCTTGGAGACAATCTTTCTGGAGACCAAACAGCTTTGGTGACCCTCTTCCCATTAGTGTGGAGGTCTGTTTGCCAGAAATTGCTTTAGAAGTTGAAAGCTGAGTCAGCTGACTTTCGAGATATCTTTGGTGGTATAATTCCTGTAAGATTTTAGTCAGTCTTACATCTTTTTGCATCTGGTCTCTGACTGAGAGGTCTGTTACATGCTTTAAACACAGTTAAATATCTTGCTTACCTGTGCTCTTCTGAGACAGCCTGCCCTCTGGCCATTCACCTTTGCCTTGCCTCTTCTCCTGGCCCTTGCTCTGATGACCTCTACTTGGAGGCCCTCTCTACTCTTCCTGTGCTAGGAAAGGAGTCTGCTTTATTTGGTGTCAGGTACTTATCTATGAATAAATATTAAAGCAGTGCCAATCTCAGTATCGGTTTTTATTGTCTTTCTTCTAAGACTTACCTCTAATAGATAAGGGATTTTTGTTTTTATCCTTTTAATCACCAGGGGCTTAAAATAGTGCTTAGTGCTCTGTAGTTATTCTATACAATGGATATGATTGAAGTAAAAAAAACAAGCGTAGAACTATTTTTTTTAGCCATGTATTTTACACTGATCAACCTGGTAGCAATAAGCACTAACAACTGGTTGTGGTCTCTCATTATCTTTTTCCACTAGAGGGATCAAGGATTCCTTGAGAAATCTCTGATTTTAAGTCTGTCAGGGAAAGTATAAGGTGATCTTAGAATATCTAGACCTGAAAGCAACATAAAGCCTGAAGGATCCAGGGACTACTTTGAACTGACCAGAGATGGAACAACATGAGCATTAGTGAGGGTAGTAACTGCAGTGGATTAAATCCATGGATTTGTAAGGACACTCAAAAAGCAAAATAAACTGGTTACTACTGAAGGATGCTAATGAATTCATTCACTTTAAAAACTAGTAGAAGGGAAATCAGATACTAAACTCACCTTTTTTGTATGAACTGTACCACTGGTACCCAAATTAGTCGGTGAGGGAAAGCAGCTCATTGTAGAGGTACTGTAGGTCATAAATAAAAAGAAATGCTAGACTATTCTGTTTTGTACTGTGCCTATTGGATTAATGGATCTAGCCTTTGAAGATGAAGATAAGCAGTCATGTGTCCCCTCACCACAGCTTTAACAGTGGCCATGCTCATGTGCTCAGGAGTACATGTGCTGAGTGGCCACCATCTTGGACAGCACAAGTCTTCATTTAACTATTGTTTGCGAAAACAGTAGAGAACATGTTAAATGCTGCCAGGGGAATGAGGTCAGAAGGTCCAGATGCTGGGACTAATAACCCTTTTTCTTCAAGGAAATTTCAAGGAAAAGAGGAAACTTGGAAATAAAAAGAGACTTGGAATTGAGGTTATAGCTCAGTGGTAGAGTGCTTGTTTAACATGTATAAAGCCGTGATTGAGTTCAAATCTCACCTCCAAACTGGGCCTAGTGGCGCATTCCTGTAATCCCAGCACTCTGGAGGCTGA